CAAGTTGCCCAGGCGGGTCTCGAACCCAAGGGCTCAGGCAATCCACTCACCTCAGCCTCCCAAAGGCGGGATTACAGGCTGAGCCACCGAGCCCGGCTTTTCTCTCTCTTTTATGGTATGTATCTGTTTCTCTTCTTTCTGTCTCTCTGCCTTTCTCTCTGTTTTTCTGCTTCTTTCTCTGCATTTTTGTCTCTGCCTCTCCTCTCTCTTTCTTGTCTGTCTGTCTCACTATCTCTTTTTCTATCTCGTTCTGAATTTCTTCAACTCTCTCTCTCTCTAGCTCTTTGTCTCCCTATATCTCTCCCTGTCTCACCTGCTTCTCTCTCTGCCCCTCCCCTCCTGACCCCGCCCCCCGCCATGCTCCTCTAAGCCAGATGCCCCTCAGTGCAAGCCTGACCTTTTCCTTCCGGCCGCCACCCTTTCTGAATCTCCCTCGTCTGGGGCAAGGTTCAGGCTGCTGACTTTGCTCATCCCTGAGCGACCCCCACCCACCTTCACCTCCATGAAGAGTGAGGGTGGGGCTGCTCAGGCTAAGATCTCTCCAGGGTGCAGATCCTGATGTAAACAAGCAGAGACACATGAAAAGTGTCAATTCTGGGACAGCCACAGGGGTAGGAAGACATGGCATCAGGTGGGGACAGGCCTTCCAGAAAGCTATCCCGATGGCCGGGAAGGCCTTGAGCACCGGGAAGGCCTTGGGCGGGGATGGGTGTGGCACCATCCCTGCCTGAGGAAGGCAGGTGTGTGGGGCCCAGAGCTCAGGGGGGTGTATGGAGCAGGTCAGGGGATTCCCTAGGTGTGGCACCATCCCTGGCCTGAGGAAGGCGGGTGCGTGGGGCCCAGAGCTCAGGGGGGTGTATGGGGCAGGTCGGGGGATTCCCTAGCGGGACAGGGAGCAGAGGCTGGGCCTGGAGGGCGCTCCTCCCCCTTCTGCAGAGTGCCTGCTCTGCCTTGGTCTGGGCTGAAACACAAGCCCTGGGGGTCCTCTCCTGGACCCTACTGCTCATGCCTCGCCTGCCCCATGGGCAGGCCTGTGGCTTCCCTGTGCCTCCCTGAGGACCACGCTGATGGAGGACAGGGACCCTGCCTCCCACCTCTGTCCTGGGCCAGCACCCCTGCCTGGAGTGCCCTCTGGAAGGACTGAGATCCTGCAGTCACTGGAAGGGAAAGGCCTGTGTCCCTGCAATGAACCCACGGTCCCAAGGGCCCAACCAAGGAGCCCTGGCCCTCTGAGCAGCTGTTTAGGGCTCAGAGCCCACCAAGGGGTCCCAGCCGCCTTGTGCTTGGTGTAAACAGGTGATGTGTGGCCCCAAGGCCTGTGGCTCCAACCCTCAAGACAAGGGCAGGGTTGGGGGGCACTCAGTCACCAGCCTGTGCCCGGGAGTTGTGGAGAGGACCCCTCCTGGCCTCCTGGGCCCAGGTGGGGGAGTGGCGGATCTGAAGAAGGACCATCCTAGAGGGCCCGCTGGGGGATGGATGTGTCTGTTTACCTCAGCCTCCCTCCTGGGGAGTGGGTTTGGCCCCAGCCTGGGATGACCATTGTCGCGCGCAGCTGGTGTGGGGGGGAGCTCACCTGTGGGTGTTTGCATGGGGGGGAGGGGCGTGGACCGGGCAGATAAGCATTAACAGTCGGGCTCGCCCTGCAGATCTGCTGACGACTCCTTTCTGCCGGCAGGCGCTCGTGAAAGGAGCCAAAGTTCCCTATAAAGCTCCCGCTCCAGGCTCGCGGCCACTCGCCCTCAGTCTCTCGTCACGCCAGGCCCGTCGCCACCGCCATGGTGAGGCTCGTGCTGCCCAACCCCGGCCTGGAAGGCCGCATCCCATCCCTGGACGCACTGGAGGGCCTGGAGCAGGCGGAGGCCAGTTCCCGGCCCAAGTGGGACAACAAGGCCCAGTACATGCTCACCTGCGTGGGCTTCTGCGTGGGTCTCGGCAATGTGTGGCGCTTCCCCTACCTGTGCCAGAGCCATGGAGGAGGTAGGGCGGGCAGAGGTCGTGGCGGGTGGCTCGGGGAAGGCCGCTGCTGTCCCGGGAGAGCAGCAGGGGCACATGGGTGGGCGGCCCCCCATCTGCAGCTCCCCGAGTGGAGGGGAGGAGATGTCGTGGGGGGCTGGGGGCGGGGCACGGCCCCTCACCCTGGGTCTGGGTTGCTAGGGTGCGGGGGAGGCACCCTGCTCAGCTGACTGTGGCCCCGCACGCTTCATGGGGTTCCGGGCAGGCTCTGTGCTCTGTGCCCCGGTCTGAGGGTGGAGACGGCGGGTGGGACAGTGGGTGGGACAGAGGCGGCTCCCTCAGGGAGAGCCCATCCTCTGAGGCTGATGATGCCGCCCCTGCACGTCCACCATGTGGACACTGGGCCCAGGGTTCCGGGTCTCATTGGCCCGTCCAGCCCCTTGGGTGGCACCTGCCACCCTGTGAGAGAGACGGGAGCCAGGCTGGGGGCAGGTGACCCTCAAAGGAGCCCACGGACTCCAGGCCTGGTTGTTGACCAAGGCACACGCAGGCCCTGGGGGTGGGACAGCCGCTGCCCCACTGCCAAGCCCAGAGCCCGCCAGGGGGTCCCAGCCTCCCTGCGCTAGGTGTGAACAGGTGACAGCGGCCCCCAGGGCCTGTGGCTCCAATCCTGGACTGGGGTGGGGTATGGGGACATCCCGGCACTAGCTTGTGCCTGAGTAGCTGTGGAGAGGACTCCTCCTGGGCCCGTGTGGCCGTGTCCTCGGCCTCCCCCGCTCAAGCCTCCCCCCACAGCCTCATCCCTCCACCTGGACTCCCAGTGGTCCCCGGTGGGCACGGCTGCTGGCTTGGAGGTGGCACACGTGTCCCCCTCCCAGAGGCCTCGGCGCCCCAGAAGAACCCTGTACTGGGGGGTGGCCCATTCTTGCTGAACAGGGGCTGATGGCCCTCAGTTGCAGGTGGGTTGTGGGGCCCCCGTCTCCTCCTAGACACGCTTTCTGGTGATGAGCCCTGGCAACAAGTCTTGCACTCCCTCTCCCTGGAGGGTTTGTGGCTCTCACACACTTTGCAATGTGTTCGCTTCTAAAGAAAAGCCGGTGCGGTGGGTCCTGGGTCAGCATCACCCTCCTGCGTTGTTGGGAGTCATCGTGCTGGGCGAGCTGGGCTGTGTTCATCCGTCCCTGGTCCACCCAGCAATTCCCCTGGGGCAGATGGGGGCCCAGGGCCCCCACAGTGCAGTGGTGACAGTCCCCAGCGCCTGCCTCCCAGCGGTACCTGCCCTCCCCAGGCCCTGCCCCACACTGCTCGCACACAACACCTGCCTACCTCTGGGGGAAGCCAAGCTACTAGGACCCACAGGGGGACACACCTTGCGGAGGGGGCACGAGACCTGGGAGGAGGGGCTGGGGCCACCGCGTCTGCTGGGGAGGCAGTCACGTCTGTCTGTCTGCAAAAGGGCCCAGGAAGGCCTGATGGGGTCCCTGGCAGGTCTCTTGGCTCTGAGACTCCTGGCAAGCATGGAGTCTGGGGGGACTGAGCCTTCAGGCCCGGTGGTCTGTCAGTGCCCCTTAGGGCCATGCTGGGTGGGGTTGGCAAAGAACCATGGAGGGCAGATGGAAAGGGCCACGCAGGCTCCCTGAGCTTGGCCTGGAGCGGCTTGAGGATTTGGGCAGGTAGGCCTGGGGGAGGGAGGAGGGCAGAGCAGGCCCGGGAAGCATAGGTCTCAGTGGCCCTCTGGTGACACCAGCAGGCCACTCCCCTCATCCCCAGATGAGCTGCCCCTGCCCGCGCCCTCCTGCTGGGTGCCGGGTCAGCTCCTGAGCTCTGACGGACCCTCTCACTAGGACCCATTCACTGTGGGGGCCATGGATGGCATGGGGTTCTGGCTGTCCCCCAACCTGGAGGACCATATGCCTTCCGGGTCACTCTGTGTGCAGCCCAGGACCCCAAGCCAGATGGCAGCCTGAAAGGACTGATGCTGCTCACAGAGAGCGGGACTCGGCCAGGAGGCGAGACCAGGATGAGGGTGGCCCTGCGCCACGCTGGCCTTCCCAGAGCACGGGTTTCAGGGGGACTGTAAGCTGGGCAGTAGGCCTGCAGTGGAGCTGCAAGGGAGCCAAGTTCCCTCACTAACGTGGATCAGTGTTGGCTGCTCGGCGTCCCCTGGGAGTCTTGTGTGATCACCTTGTCCTCTAGGACACCCCTCCCACAGCCCGGAGCCCCTCAGGCAACTTCTCCAAGGGCTGCCGCACACCTCGAGGGGCCTCATACCCAGGAAGGTCGTCTCCACCAGCCACACGCCTTGAGGAAGACACCGCTTGGGTGTCATCCGTGCAACGGGCTGCTGGAGGAGTCCATCGTCCCCGCCCCCGCCCGGAGTCACCACGCCCCACGTCCTGGGACTCCCTGGAGCCAGAGAGGGGCAATCACTTTCATGCCCACACGTCTGCCCAGATGCCGCCGTTCTGCACGCGTCGTGTCACCAGCCACTGAAGGGGCCGCCCTGCAGCAGGTCCTGGGCACCTCCTGTCCTGGCACCTCTGCACTGACTGGCGAGGTCCAGGTGGGAGAGGTGGTGAGTAGACCCTGCAGGACTACGTGGGAGCCACAACTACGCCCAGCCCCAGGGCCCTGCTGCCCAGCGCCTGACCAGGGGCCACCTTTCCCTCCAGCCCTCAGCTGTTTTTTCAGCGAGAGTCCACCCGTCACAAACTCCCAAACACCACCTGCTGGAGGGAGAAGGGAGGCAGCCCCTGCCACCTGGCTCCACTGGCTCCCCCACCCCCACACTCCACCTTCCTTCCCCTCCATCTCTCACCACGGCCTCCTCCTCTGGCCTCTTTCCTGATTTTTAGAGGGCAAGAGCTGAACTTGGCCTCTGTCCCCGAGCACTTTCCGCACCGTTATCTCTGCCATCTGCTTCCCTCCCATGCAAGGAGGTGGGTCTCTGGGGACCTTTGGAACCGGGTCCAGGCACCCCGCCCCCCACCGCGGGGCAGGCTGTGCAGGGCGCAGGGCCGGACACCTTGCCTCCTCCTCTCCCCCGGGCACCTTGCCCCACGTGAGGTCGCGGGTTTGGAAGGGAAAGACCTGGCCGGGCTTACTTGGTCAGGAGCACGTGGCCTCTCCTGGGACAGGACCGTCCCCCGCGGGGGAGCAAGGGAGGGCCTGGTTGCCCCCCCCCCCACGTGCACACAGGCTGGCCTGGCTTGTGCTCCTCGTCCGGTGTAGTGAGTGTGTCCGCCATCCTCTCTGTCCCCTGCTCCCACAGAGTCCCAGTGGGAAGGTCAGCCCAGAGCACCTGGGCTCTGCTCCCAGGTCTCTGCCTCTCTCCCTTCCTCTGTCTGTCTCTCTGTCCCTATCTCTGTCTGTCTCCCTTTCTCTGTCTCTCCATCTCTTTCCCACCCTCTCTCTGTCTTCCTCTGTCTTTCTGCCTCTGTCTCTCCCTGTCTCCTCTCTCTGTCTCTCTCTGTTTCCCTGTCTCTCCCTCAGTCTGTCTCCCTCTCTCTATCTCTCCCTCTGTCTCTCTTTCTGTCTCTCTCTCTCCCTCTCTCTGTCTCCCTGTTTCTCTCTCTGCCTCTCTCTCCCTCCCTCTCTGTGTCTCTCCCTCTCCCCTCTGTCTCTGTCTCCCTCTGCCTCTATTTCTCCCTCTGTCCCTCCTGTTTCTGTCTCTCTTCTTTCCTCTCTCCCCCTCTCCCTCTGTCTCTCTCCCAATGCCTGTCTCTCTCTGCCTCTGATACTGCCTCCCTCTATCTCTGTCTCTCTGTGTGTCGCCCTGTCTCTCTCTGTCTCTCTCCCTCCCTCTGTCTCCTTCTGTCTCTCTCTCCCTCCCTCTGTCTCCCCTCTCTCTTTTCTCTGTGTCTGCAGCCCTCTGTCTCTCTCTCTCTGTCTCCCTTACTCTTTCTGTGCCTCTCTCTCCATCTCTCTCCCCCACCCCGTCTCTGTCTCCCCGTCTCTTTCCCTCCCTCTCTCTGTCAGACACAGGAACACACACTGCAGGGCCATCCCAGGAGGAGCTAGCTCACGGTCAGGGATGGCGGTGGCCAGGCAGGGAGGTGGTGGGGGGGACGAGAAGGAAGTGGGGATAAGAGAGCTTTGGTGGGAGGAGGACACAGACAGCAGGAGGGTGAGGACGAGCTGACCTTCCTGGGCACGAGCGGAGGAAGGTGGAGGCTGTACGAGGGGTGTGGCATCTCCCTCCTGGGGCAGACCCTGTGGCCTGTGTCCCCAGGACACACAGACACAGGTGGGCTGTGATGGGACCCACCACCTCGCAGCCAGCTTTGGGCCATGCACCTAGGACTGAGAGGCCGCCCTGTGAGGTCCGCATTAGGTTTGGTGGCCCAGGAGAGTGGCGGTGGGCCTGGGACCCCACACCCAGGCCCTTCGGCAAGCTGGGTTTGGATTGCACGGAGCTGGGTGGAGGGTGCCTTCTGGCACTCGCCGGGACCCCTGAGGGCAGGGAGAGCCACGCCTGGCCCAGGTGGAGTCCAGCCCAGCAGGGACAGCTTGCAGTGAGGCAGCCATTGTCTGCAGTGGTGGTGGCTCCCTGTGGGCATCACACCCATCCCTGTGGAGGAGGGGACAGGGCCTCTGCAGATAAGGCGGCCTCCCTGCAGAGTTGCTGACCTTCCTGCCAGGGGTCAGTCCAGTGGGGGCACGTGTCCCTGTCTGCTGTGTCCCTGTCTGCTATTCCTCCACTCGGGAGATGCTCACGGGGTTCCCGCCATGGTTGGGCTCAGTTCACATTGGCCCTGGCACCTGTCAGGGAGTAAAGCCATGAACCCACCTGTCAGACCCCGTGTTTCCCCACCGGGATGCCCGGGGCTGAAGACTAAAGGTGGCGTTGTAAGACATCCCTGTGTGACCTCGGAAGCCCGGTCTGTGACCTGTGGTTTTTCTGCATGTTCCCCGTCCTGCGTCCCTCTGCACCTTTGGTGAAGGAGCCACGTGTGTCCATGCCTCCCAGCTGGGCCGAGGAGCCACCTCTCAGGCCCTCCCTGCACTCGCTCACACCCTCTCGGGGTCAGACAGGGACGGCCTCAGCCCCCACCATGCGTGTGGCCTAGGGCCTGGGTGCAGACCCTTAGCACTCTCAGGCTGGGCCGGAGGGGGTCTGTCCACTAAGGGAGGGGCTGTGGACACACCCTTGGAAGCACGCTCCTCCTGCTCTTCTTCGGTGCTGGCCACAGCTCTGAGAGAAGCCCCCCTCACACTCCACCTGTGGTTTTCCTGGAGACCGAGTTTCCAGATGGGGGCATGGCGTGTGAAACTCCTCCCGACCCTCCCCGTCCTCTCATCATGGTCTGCAGCATCCAGGTGGCCAGTGGCACTCTGGAGTTCAGTGACACCCTGGTAGTCAGTGACATCCTGATGGCCAGAGGCATCCTGGTGGTCAGTGATGTCCTGGTGGCTAGCAACATCAGAATGGTGACCAGCGGCATCCTAGTGGTCAGTGACATCCTGGCGCCAGCAGCATCCTGGCAGTCAGTGGCATCCTGGCAGTCAGCAGCATCTTGGTAGCCAGCAGCATCCTGGCGGTCAGTGGCGTCCTGGCAGTCAGTGACATCCTGGGGGACAGTGGCATCCTCGTGGCCAGCAGCATCCTGTGCCCTGGTGGTCAGTGATGTCTTGGCAGTCAGCAGTGTCCTGGTGGTCAGCAGTGTCCTGGTGGTCAATGGCATCCTATGTTCTGGATGTCAGTGGCATCTTGTGTCCTGGCAGTCAGTGACATCCTGTGTCCTGGTGGTCAGTGGCATCTTATGTCCTGGTGGTCAGTGGTGCCCTGTGTCCTGGTGGTCAGCCATGTCCTCTGTCCTGGTGATCAGCAGCACCTGTGTCCTGGTGGTCAGCATCACCATTTGTCCTGGTGATCAGCCATGTCCTCTGTCCTGGTAGTTAGCCATGTCCTCTGTCCTGTGGTCTTTGACACCCTGTGTCTTGTTGGTCATTTGTGTCCTTTTTCCTGGTGGTCAGCAATGCCCTGTGTCCTGGTGGTCAGTGGCGCCATTTGTCCTGGTAGTCAGTGGCACCCTGTGTCCTTCCTGGTGGTCAGTCATATCCTCTGTCCTGGTGGTCAGTGGTGCCCTCTGTCCTAGTGGTCAGTTGTGTCCTCTGTCCTGGTGGTCAGTTGTGTCCTCTGTCCTGGTGGTCAGTGGTGCCCTGTGTTCTGGTGGTCAGCAGCACCATTTGTCCTGTTGTTCTGCAGTGCCCTGTGTCCTGGTGGTCAGTTGTGTCCTCTGTCCTGGTGGTCAGTTGTGTCCTCTGTCCTGGTGGTCAGTGGTGCCCTGTGTCCTGGTGGTCAGTCATGTCTTCTGTCCTGGTGGTCAGTGGTACCCTGTGTTCTGGTGGTCATCGGCACCATTTGTCCTGGTGGTCAGCGACACCCTGTGTCCTGATGGTCAGTGGTGCCTTGTGTCCTGGTGGCTGGTGGCATCCTGATGGTCAGTTGCATCTGGATGCCATCTTTGTAGGGTGAAGCCGACATAGTCAACCAGATCATCCCAGAAACCCCTCTTCCTCCCAAGGCTAGTGTCTCTCTCTTTTGCTTGTTTCAAAAACGATCCCCAGCAAAACCCTTCTGGTCCATTTCAACACTAGACGCGTGGCTTACACCTTACTTGGTGTCAAGCTCCAGCATCACCATGTCTCCCTGTCTCCCGCCTGGGCACATTCAGCTTCAACCAGACCAAATTCCTGCAATTTCACAAAACTCAAATATCACACTTCAAGGTTGTTCGAGGTTCTTCTAAGTTAGGGCCCAAAGAAGCCGGGGGTGTCCCCAGTGGGCCAAAGGCGGGCACATCTGTTGGAAGCCGTGGTCACAGCAGAAGCAGGGTGGCCCTGCGTGGTTCTCCTCCTTCAATCTGTTACTGTTCTAGGACACACAAGACTTGCCGTTTAGACCGTTTTCATGTGTGTAGCTCAGCAGCATCGAGTATATTCATGATGGGTGATCATGGTCTCCAGAGTTTCCATCTCCCCAAACTGAAGCTCTGTCCCTACGAAACACCCTTCCCCTATCACTCCCCCAGTTCCCAGCAGCCCTGTCCACTTTCTGTCACCATGGCCCTCGGGACCACCTGTAAGTGGAATCACGCCGGGTGAGTCCTCTGGTGATGGGCTGATCTCACTCCGCACAGTGTCCTCAAGGCTCACACTGAGGTCTCAGGGCATGAGATTTCCCTCCTTTCAATGCTGAGTGATGCATGTCATTGTGCTTGTCCACGCATCTGCCTGTGGCGGCTGGACTGCCTCTGTGTCTAGCCACTGCGCACAGTGCTGCTGTGAACACGTCTTTCGATCCTTGTGGGTGAAACCAGAGGTGGAACTCCAGGTCACGTGGTAGCTCTGTGTTGAACTCTCCAGGACCCTCCCCACCACTTTCACAGTGGCTGCACCACTTTGCATTCCCGCTGGAGTGCACGAGAGCTCCAGTGTCTCTACTTGTGCACCAGCGCTGGGTGTTGTCTGGTTTTGACAGCAATCATGCCGGTCCCTCGCTGCAGTTTTGATCTGTACTTCCCTGACAGTCAGCAATGGTGAGCACTTTGCATGTGCTCATGGGCCACTTTAATTTCTCCCCAGAGAAAGGTCTAGTCCCTTCCCTATTTTTGAATCTGATTATTTTTATCATTTTCTTGGGTTGTCCAGTCTGTGTGTTAATCCCTTAGCAGACGCATGATCTGCACATATGTTCTCCCGTACCGGGGGCGCCTTTTTGCTCTGCTGATGTTGTTTCAGATGCATGAAGTGTACAGACAGTTATGAACATGGTTTCCACACACACAGCAGCTGGAGGACCCGTGGGAGGGGTCGGCTGCAGAACACACCCACGGGCGGGGTCTGGAGGGTGAAGGGCAGGCGTGGTGGGAGCAGCGAAAGAGAAGTGCTCTTGGTGGCACTGCCACGCGTGCAATGATGGGAATAAGGGGTGGCACAGCCCCCGTGGGCCACGGGACACTCCCTCCCCACGAGAGACTGTCTCTCTCAGTGTGACCGGCAGTGACCCTTTGTCACAGAGTTTGGGTCAGGAAGGCGGTGGTCGCAGCAGCGTGGGGAGGGGACACTGCCACCAGAAGCCCCCTGGATAGGCCCGCGCGGCTCGGTGCCACCTTTCTCGGGGCTTCTGGATGGCAAGGGAGCTGGGGAGGGTGGATTCAACGCTGTTGCAGGAGCGTCCCTGTGGGTATGAGTCCTCTGATGGGCTGGAAGGACGCGGCTCCCTGAGGCCCACGGATGACACAGTCTGGTTGCCAGGCAGTCCTTCTGGAATGGGGTGTCAGCTCTGACCGGCCCTGTGGGCTGGCAGTGCCCTTGGCTCTGTGGCTGGCCGGGTCGGGCCACGTGGCGCCCGCCCAGCTGTCACTCCCGTTCCAGGTGCCTTCATGATCCCGTTCCTCATTCTGCTGGTGCTGGAGGGCATCCCCCTGCTGCACCTGGAGTTCGCCATTGGACAGCGGCTGCGCAGCGGCAGCGTGGGCGTGTGGAGTGCCATCCACCCCGCCCTGAAGGGCATCGGTGAGTGTGTGGGCGCCCGGACCAGGGTGCGGCTCTCCTGTGTTTCGGGAGGGAAGAGCCTGGATCCTCCCTCCCTTAGGCCTCTGGGCACTCCTGGCCACCAAGGCCGCCCCGGGCAGCAGAGGCCAAGGACTGCCGGTGGCCCCAGCAGGACGGCAAGTGACTGCTGCCTGCCTAGCACTGGCCGGGGCCAGGAGGGGGCACTGCTGCCTGATGTCCTGACCTCCTCCGTCCACTTACCCCCTACTTGACAAGGAGGCCCAGCCACGGTCACTCATTTACAAGCTCCGTGACCCTGGGGTGACCCCAATACAGCCTGGCTGAGGACACAGCTCATTAAGACCTCACAATAAGGGTAGGCGTGAAGCTCTCCAGCCCCAGGGGCAGAGGGCAGGGTCCACTCCGAGGGATGCTGGGTACAGGGCGTCTACCCTTCTGAAGGCCAAGGCCGGACCAGCCCCCACGCCCAGCCCGGCCTTCCCTCAGATTCCAGGCCTCCCTCTCTCCTGCTGGTCTCTCCCTCTCTTCCTCACTCTCCTGCCCCCCCTCCCTCCCTCTGTCTCTCTCCCTCCATCTCTCTCTCCCGCCTCCCTCCCTCCCTCCCAGCTCCCTGCTTCTTTGTCTCTCCTCACACTCACACATTTACACACACATTTGGTTCTCAGTTTAAAAGGTCACAAAAGTCGTGCCTGGTTCACTCTGCATTCGCCTCGTGGTCCCAGACACCCAGAACACCCCCCTCTGCATCTTCTGCTTGAACCCTGGACCTCCCCGGAGAGGGTTCCGCCGGCCACTGCCTGTCCTGGGCCCAGGGGCCACCCTCCCGCCCATGAGCCTGATGGGCAGTTCAGGGGGCATCACACCCTCGCCCCACACCTCCGCCCTGCTGGCTTTGCTCCCCAGATCTGGAAGTGCCTCTGTTGGGGGCGGGCCCTCTGCTGCGCCTGTCCATGCTCCCTGGAGCAGTCCTCCAGGCCCGCCTCAGCCGTGCACTCCGCAGACGTGGCCTCCCTGCTGGTGTCCCCTCACAGGCGTGGCCTCCATGTTCGTGTCCTTCGTGGTGGGGCTGTACTACAACACCATCATCGCCTGGGTCATGTGGTACTTCTTCAACTCCTTCCAGGAGCCCCTGCCCTGGAGCCAGTGTCCGCTCAGCGAGAACCAGACAGGTAGGCCCCAGGGCCCAGGACCCCAAGCCCTTCCTGACCCCTGGGGCTCTTCATGGGGCGAGGGGCCTCCAAGCCTGCCCCATCCCCACCCCTGGCGACTCCTTTACAGGACGAAGGGCCCCCAAGCCCATCCTGAGCCCTGGGGGTTCTTTCATGGGGCAAGGGGCCTCCAAGCCTGTCCTGACCCCTGGGGACTCCTTCCCAGGACCCCAAGGGGCCTCCAAGCCCGTCCCATCCCCACAGGGGCTCCTTCATGGGTTGAGGGACCCCCAAGCCCATCCTGACCCCGTGGGGGCTCCTTCAAGGGACCAGTGACGCCCCCAAGCCCCTCCCAACTCCCTGGGGCCTCATTCACAGGGTGTGTGTGTCCTGTATGGCCCCCACGGCCCTGGTCCCGGGGAGGGAGAGTGGGTGCACACCCTCGGCTGTGGTCTGTGGGGACACACTCAGCTCACTGTGACACACACAGCTGCACCAAGGCCAGACGGCCTGCTGTTCCTACCAGTGCTCGGGGTTGGGCTATCCAGTGGGCCCCTTGGGGTCAGAGAAAGACAGGCTCCCCACGTCCCCCTCACTGCCCTCAGGACAGTCAGGACCTTTTCCACTTCTAGGTGTCCTCTGGGCTTAGAAGGCTTCCCTTAGAGCAGTCTTGGTGCGGGTCTGTGAGCCTGGAGAGGCCCCGGGGTAGGAGTGTGAGAACCTGGGCAGGGCCTAGTCCGGGGAGCACCGCTCTTCGTAACTGCCAGTGTCACAGACAGTCCTGCCAGGCCGGCAAGGGCAGGAGGGAGGTGATGAGAGACTGGGGGCCATGCCGTCTGGAAGAGTCTCACAAGGTGTGGGTGCATGGGCACTTGCGGGTGTGCATGTGTGCTCGTGAATGCCCGTGTGAGGGTGCACACCTGTGTCCGTGTGGGTGTCCCCGGCTTTAGTGCCTCCAGGACATGTCCGGCATGTCCTCCAGCCCAGAGCCCCAAGGTGTGGCTCTCCCCTGGGGACCTGCCTGAGGCACATGCTGGGCTGGTCCCCACAGGTCTGGTGGACGAGTGTGCCCGGAGCTCATCCGTGGACTACTTCTGGTACCGAGAGACGCTGAACATCTCCACCTCCATCAGCGACTCGGGATCCATCCAGTGGTGGCTCTTGCTGTGCCTGACCTGCGCCTGGAGCGTCCTCTATGTGTGCACCATCCGTGGCATCGAGACCACCGGCAAGGTAGCGCTGGGCCTCCCGGGCTGCAGGAGCCGGGGTGCAGGGCTCCCGGGAGCCCCTGGGCACTGCCTCTGTCCTCGGGCCCACAGGCCTGCATGGGAGGGGTCCCGTCACCCCCCCCCGGGTTTGCCACCTCGCCCTATACTGGCCCCAGCAGCTTTCAGACATGACACTCGCAGGGCTTTGTGCAGGAGTAGCCCAAAACATCTGTCACGCTGGAAAGAGTTCAGTAACAAGAATAACAACAGCAACAACAGAGGGGGCTGGAAAGAAGTGGCAGGCTGGGCCTCCCCACACCAGAAACTTGGTGCCACGGCACGGGAGGGCTGGCCCAGCTGGCTCCTGGCCCACACGCCTGCCCCCCCC